TCCAACTCCGCCCACTTTTTTCCTCCAAAACGGCAAAACAGCCGCTGAGTGGTGGAAAGGGGGGGGGGGAGGTTGCGGGGAATGGGGACAAATTCGAGTAATGAATTCTAATTCCCAAACTTGACCGTTTCATGCTTACTTTTTCAAATTTTTCCCTAACTCCGAAAAAAAACGTCCAATGCGACCCGCCCAAAACTACCACTACCTCCCCAACTTCCAGAAATACTACTCCCTCTTTCCAATTTTTGACTTTCATCGCCCCCAAATACGACCTACCTTCTAAAAAAACTCAAATATATCCCCCTTCGTTGAGAATTGTGCAACGCACGGTTGATCCTGGATATGAGACATCTAGATTTTATGGCAACGGAAGCGCTTTTGCCTTTCACATAGGTAACAGATTACTGGCACCCTCTCCCCTCAAGACAGACGGGACGAGAAAATGATAGGAATGATAAGCACCGTTAGGAATGATAAGCTCTGTTTTGTCATGGGGTATTGACTAGTTAAAATGGCCAAACTAACATAAGTTATCAGATAGTCAATAGATTCAGCCTTTGGCTTGATCACTAGAAATGGTCCTCTTGCTGATGTTTTTCTCTCTACCGTCTGATAAAAAAAGTATGGCTGCATTCTTCAGTTCTTCTACCCCGTTACGACGACATTAACATTGGACCTCCTAGTGGGGTAAATCGTCCGTGGTGCGAAGTCAGCGAAGGGTGAAATGGGGATTTCGTGCAAGGAGGACATAAGAAAAGAGGGTTTGTAGGAAATGGGTGGACGTTTTCACGAAAACGAAATGAATAAATTTAATTTATTTTAAATTTTTGTGAGAGACATTTTTACGAGAATAAAATAATTTTGAAAACTCCGAATTTTCCTGCCGTTTTAGAGGTGATAAACATTACTTCCTGACAGACGAAAGTTTTGGATATGGAAGGTAAATTACACATAGGTTGTAGGACTACTGGAATCGTGACTAAGTAGGAGGACGGTAATGTCGCGTTTATGGTCAGCTCCTAATTTTCC